CAGGGGTATTTTTTAGTCATTAACATTATTTCTAACATTTTTTGTTTGATCCAAAGTTTAGTTCTTTTTCAATTTCCAAAAATGTTAAGGAATCTGGATGCTTAGCTCATTTTGTTTTTATTCCTTTCTAACAAAAGCACGTAAGTGTAGATTTTTTTCCTAGATACCACTTAAACTACATCTTACAAGTCTTGGTATGCAGGGGTATTTTTTAGTCATTAACATTATTTCTAACATTTTTTGTTTGATCCAAAGTTTAGTTCTTTTTCAATTTCCAAAAATGTTAAGGAATCTCGAAATATAGTACTACTGGTTTCTAGTTAATTTGTATTGTAGTTAGTCTGATACCAATTCCTTAAAATTTATTGCCTGACTTTATGACCTAAAGTGCCGTATCAATTCTCAAAAAACATTTCGTGTGCTTGAAATGAAGACTAGGCTCTCATTCTTGGATGCAGCATCCTATGTGTTAATCATGAGTCTCAGCTGGACATTCTTCCAGTCTGCACACCCTTTTTTCTCACACTGCTCTGAACTCCTCTAAGTATGCCATCTGCATGAAACACACACTGACACACTCTAAAAGAGTATTAGCTGTCTGTAAGTCACAAGCTCTTATGGTCCTACATTTTTATCTCCCGAAGGCAAAAGAAAGCTAGAGGTAGGATGAACATGGGGGTACCCTTTAATTGTCTTCACACTGTGGTACTCATTTCCCAGACAGAAGAGAGACTTCCTGTGGTTAAACACAAGCTAGATTATTTTTAAAGAAACCAGATCTTCAGTTCCCATGTGTACTCTTTCCTAAAATTTGATCTGCCTGAAAAGGTGCTCAGGACAAGGCATCATCCCCATACCTTTTAACCATTATTCTTCATACTTGACAAAGCACAAATACTCCTTTTACCCATTCTGAATCTTTCCAAGGCACTTTGGAAAATTTTCCAGATAATCAATAAAGGGACATTTTTAAATATTGGTGAGAAAGAGATGACACTAACTGGCTTAAAAAAAAAAAAAAACCTCTGTAATTTAGGTGGCTTCTAATTTTTTGCTTTTCAACAAAATTGAAAGATCTAATTGAGTCACCAGTTGACAAATCACAAAAAAATAACTTGGTAATAGTGAATTCTGGTATATAATTTTGAACAAGTTCAAAGAATTGAGTAACACTGCTATACAAACTTCTTTCTCATCTACTTGTTCTGTATTATAAGCAAAATTTCTTAGGACTTTAATATCAATAAAAACAAAAATAGGAATATAACTGATACTGAATAACTATTACTACAAAAACCTGAGACATGTTTATCCCACTAAAAGATGTATTTCTGATAAAACTTTTTTGTTTAATAGATCAAAATTTGGACTATATTAGTAAAACAGTACAAGCTATAACAGATTAACCCCCCAAAACTCTGGCAGAACAGTAATTGTTCCTCCCTCATCTGAAGTCTAAAATGAGTGTGGGTGGATCTCCTCTCAGCAGTGATTCTGGAAGCCCAGTTCCTTCTTGATTATGTACGTTGGAAGTTACATACGCCTCTGCATCAAGCCAGTGGTAGGTAAAGGGTGTAGAGGATTGCATGGAGGAGATCCGGAAGTGCTGCATGTAACTTCTGTTCTATTTATTAGAACTCAGTTACATAGCTACCCTATTTGCAAAGGTGGAAATAATCTAGTTGCATGATAGGAAAAGGAAACGGTTTGGTAATCAGCTAAGTCTACCACATCTTTTTATACTGTTTTGATCAGTTGTGTATTTATAATTGGAGATAAATTTCTTGAATGCCTAGAATCTTACAGTTACAGGAAACAATTTCAAATTTAGTTGTAAAGAACTGTGACAGGATCATCAATGTATAACTTTCTTCTTTGGAGAAAGTGAAATGGATGATGGAGATCAAATCATTATGGTATTTACATTCCTTTAAATAAATTTAAAAGCAGCACATAACAATTGTATTTTAAAATGGCAGTATTACCAACATCCTAAATTCCCTCCCACTATTTAAACTTAAGATGAACAATCTTAAAATGTCAATTACCGCCCTAGTAGTTGTTAAGTTTTTCAAAATTATTTTTAGAGTGCTTATAGAGCTCCAAAATGCCCAAGGAGAAGAAAATTAATCATATCCTAAATGAGAAAGGGAAGGCAAAAAGAAAAAGTCTCTTTTCTCCTTTAAGTTTCTAAACTCCTCTTCTTACCTTAACAACCTTTAGGAAAGTGATCTCTTCAGCTCATGTAGAAAACTGTTTTAGGATTTTGAATTCATCAAGATCCCAGTGTGGGAGTCAAGTACTTTAGGCTCTAACATCTTTCTAAGGGTTTCCTATCTTTCTGTGATAGGCCTTACTTTAAATATTTACATCATAGTAAAAGAAATTCTAAGACACTGAGAAGTAATACGGCCTTTGAAATTCATCATTAAATAGCCCTATCCAATATTCAGATATTAACTGCAGTCCTTCCAGCCCTCTACGTGAAGGTAGAATTCTTCAAGTGATAAAATGCCCTGGCCTTGTATTAAGTCGCCAAAATTCTTGTGAGCAACTTTCAAAAGGGAGGAGATTTGACTATTTCTCTTATCTTCTCTCAGGGCGAAAATTAATAGGCCCTTGGTGGCATCCAGTGATAATGGTCTTTCCTGGTTTGGGACAATG